GTGAAGCCATCTGGTCCTGGGCCTTTCTGTGTTGGGAGCTTTTTGATTACTGATTCAGTCTCCTTACTTGTTACAGCTGTTTCTTTTTGGGTCAGTTTTGGTAGTTTGTATGTTTCTAAGAATTTGTTTCATCTGGGTTATTCAGTTTGTTGGTTCATAGTATCCTGTTATCCTTTATTTCTATAAAGTTTATAATAATTTCTCCTCTTCCATTTTATGATTTTAGTAATAAGAGCTTTTTTTCCTCCTCAGTCCATCTGGCTAAAGGTTTGGCAATTTTGTAGAGCATTTCAAGGCATCAGCTTTTGCTCTTAGTAACTCTCTGTTGTTTTTCTAGTTTGTATTTCATTTCCACTTGAATATTTATTTCCTTCTGCTAGCTTTGGGTTTAGTTTGCTATTCTTTTTCTGGTTCCTAAGATGTAGTTTTATTATTGAATTAAGATTTTTTTTAACATAAGCATTTAGAGCTATAAATTTCCTTCTGAGCACTGTTTTTGCTGCATTCCATAAATGTTATGTTGTGTTTTTTTATTGGTGTTTAGGTATTTTCTTATTTTCCTTGTGATTTCTTTTTTGACCCATTGGTTTTTAAGAGTGTGTTATTAAATTTCCCACATATTTGTGAGTTTTCTGGCAACCCTTCTATTTTGAATTTCCAGTTTTATTCCATTGTAGTTGAAAAGGATACTTTGTGTAAGTTTAGTCTTTCTAAGTGTACTCAGACTTTTCTTGTGGCCTAATTTATGGTCCTTCCTGGAGAACATAGGCTGTTCACTGGAGAAGATTGTGTATTCTGCTTTTGTTAGATGGAGTGGTCTGGTTGGTTTATAGTACTTTTTTTTTTTTTTTTTTTTTGCATGACAAAGTCTTTACTTTCAAATGATTATCAGTACACCAAGTAAGAACATGTATACAAGAAGTTCTTGAATTCTATCATCTAATAATTTTGGGTAAGAGAAACTAAGAGCAGCCCGAACAATATATACTAGTATTCGCTGTTCCACCCTTAGCCGAGAGGACTTAAGGCCAGCTGCTGCTTCACACAAGTTACAGTAACTATTTACTACTTTTTCATAGAGAAAGCCCCTGACCTTCAAGAAAGCTTTAGGGAAAAAAAATATTTAATCCCTTTCTTTCTTTAAACAGTTTTTTTTTTCCTACATCTAAGAAAGAAAAGTATTGATACATATGTTGCTTGAACTAAAAGGCATAGGAAAACAGACAACGTATACACATTAAATTTCTAAGAAACATGAAGTAAAAGGAGAAAATCTTTGGATACGCTCTACATTTGTACAAAGAAGCTAGATTTGCTATTCTCCAAGAAGTGAAGGGACCTACTACGTGATACACAGAAATAATTTAATGCCTTGTCACAAGGGTGTAACTACTCAAGCTTTGCTGAAGCTTCGTATTCCATGAAGGCATCTAACATGCCAATCTGCACGCAGAGCTGCTCCTTCCTCCCCTATCCATTTATGCGGTAGTTTTCATGGATTTCTGGCCGGATGTCACAGACAAAGGCCAGCAGGTTATCCAGGACTTCATCCCTGTTCTGCTGGAAGTAGGCCTGGAGGATGGTCATCTTCTCCTGGGTCTCCTTCTCCACTTCGGTGCTGCAGCTGCCATGGGATCCCAGAGCCGCAGCTTCCTTGGCCTTGAACTCCTTCTCTCTTTGCAGACGGTATTGTTAAATTTCAGCCTGAGCTGCTTCTTTGGCCTGCTTCAGCCTCCGGTTCTTTCGCTTGCGGGCCTCTGACACTTTCTTGGCGGCCCGCTTCTCGGCCTGCAGCAGCTGCTGAATGCCCTGCGACTGGCTGGCCATGGCTGCGGCGACAAATCGGTTCGAGCGGGTCCCTCCTATAGTGCTTTTCAAGTCTTCTATTTCCTTGTTGATCTTCTGCCTCCTAATTCTGTTACTGAAAATGGAGTGTTGAAGTCTGAAACTTAGTGTAGAATTGTCTCTTTCTCCCTTCCATTTTGCCAGTTTTGGCTTCATGTATTTTGGGGCTCTCTTACTGGATGCATATATGTTATTCTTCTTTCATCTTCTTGATGGATTGACCCTTTTATCAATATATAATGTCCTTTTTGTCTCTTATAACAGTTTTGCCAGCCCAGTGCTCTCCGTTACTATTTACATGGGATATTTTTTTCATCCTTTTACTTTTACCCTTTTGTGTCTTTGTATCTAAGCAAGTCTCCTACAGATGGCATCCATTTTGGGTTTTAATTGGAGAGTTTGATCATTTACATTTGAAGTAGTTACTGATAAAGAATTTAGCTTAAGCTGCCACACAGCTGTTTGTTTTCTGTGTGTGTCGCATATTTCTTGTTCCTCAGTTCCTTTCTTTTTGTGTATTTGTATATTTCTGTATTTTTGTTGTTTTTTTTCTGGCTACCTTGGGGATTACATTTTCCATCTTAAATTTATAACCACCTAATTTGAGTAATCCCATGTATGTTAGTAGCATACACTGCTGCTATGTGCCCCGCCTTCCCCCTTTCTTAATATTGCTATTGTCACAGGTTACGTCTTTATTCATTGTTCCCATTAACATTGATTTATAATCTTTGTTTTATTCATTTGCCTTTTAAATCATACAGGAAAAAAATTACAAACCAAGAGTACACTAATACTGGCTTTTTTATATTTACCAATGTAGTTGTCTTTACCCTCGTTCTTTATTTCTTTTTTTTTTTTTTTAAAGATTTTATTTATTTATTTGACAGAGAGAGACACAGGGAGAGAGGGAACACAAGCAGGGGGAGCGGGAGAGGGAGGAGCCCGCCGAGCAGGGAGCCCGATGTGGGGCTCGATCCCAGGGCCCTGGGATCATGACCTGAGCCGAAGGCAGATGCTTAACGACTGAGCCACACAGGCGCCCCCCTCGTTCTTTATTTCTTGATAGGATTTAAAATTATTGTTTGGCATTCTTCCGTTTCAGCCTGAAGGGCTCCCTTTGGCATTGTTTGGCATTGTTTGAAGGGTACTTGTACTTGTCTATCAGTGACAAACTCCCGTAACTTGTTTATTGGGGATGTCTTAATTTCTCCTTCCTTCTTGAAAAATGGTCTTGTCAGATATGAAATTTTTGATTGACAGTATTTCTCATTCAGAGCTTTATGTCATCTAATGGAGATAGGACTGTATAATTCATTTGTCGAAATCTTGCAAGCCCTCATCCTGACTTCAGCAGGTACAGTACCCTACTTTGTAATGGTTTCGGAGACATTTATTCAGAGCATGATTAACAAAGTATTACACAGAAACCAATTTTCCTGGGCCTTGGGTGGCTTAGTGGGTTGGCTAAGCATCCAACTCTTGATCTCAGCTCAGGTCTTGACCTCAGGGTCATGAGTTCAAGCCCTGTATTGGGCTCTATGCTGGGAGTGGAGCCCACTTAAAAACAATTTTTTTTCCTGGCATCTGAAATGATCCTTTAAACACGAAAACTTTTATCTTCACCTAAAATGTGTTTATTTGACAGAGAGAGAACAGCGAGAGAGGGAACACAAGCGGGGGAATGGGAGAGGGAGAAGCAGGCTGGGACCTTGACCTGAGCCAAAGGCAGACACTTAAAGACTGAGCCACCCAGGCGCCCTCCAGGGCGCCTTTGAAGTAAGGCTTTGTACATCTGAGGAATCTGCATGCAGCTATTGATGCTTCCAGGGCCCAGCATCCAGGCTGTTTCAGCTTACCACAGTGAATAATGCAGTAATGCACGTGGACCATGAGTTACCTACTACTGTCTAGACTCAAATACTGAGGTTTTGAGTTTTCATCTTTATTTAATGGCTTTTTGGTCTCTTCTCTGTCAGGTATCACATGTACCTATTTCTATGCCTCCCCTCTTTAGCTAGGGCTAAGAAAATCAAATGACTGTACTTAAAATAGTAATTTTTAAAATAGATAAAAAATGAAGATATTTGATGCTGTTTTCACATTTATTTTGCCTTGCAGACCAAAATATTTCTTCATGTAGTTTCTTCATTGATTATGTGGTATGATTTTTTTAGGTTTCTGAAAGAGCAAACTCCTGATAAAAAGGAGCCATTACCATATTGTCAGTGCTTTAAGAAATAAAAGGCAAAATCCAATTTGTTTTTTAGATCAGCAGCTAATGCCAATGTTTAGGCTTCAGAGAGTATCGAAGAAAGGTAACGTGTAGTTGTGTTGTCAAGTATCTTTCTATTGCTACCCAATTTGGTACTCTTACAATGATAGTTTCCTAAAAAGGAATCCTTGCCAACTTTAAAGTGACCATACTGTCATTTTCAGAGGAATAGGGGTATTCTGGTCACCTGCTGCTTTAAACCACGGCCGTTTAACAGTTAGATGTGCTCCCAAGTAAAATGTGACCGGCATTTACCTCAGGACCACATTCATGTGTGGCAAAGTTACCTACTTTATTCACTCTGATGTTTGGAGGTTATTTTGCCTTTTGTCTATAGTTCTGTGTGTATGTAAAACAAAACATTTTAACAGGCTTGGTGATGTCTAGGAAGCTAGATTTTGTGATGTCCTTATTTTTTGTATTTTTACATAAAATCTTAAGCTATTTTATCTCTCATTCACTATATCTTGAAATCTGTATTATAAGATTTCTTTAATGTGTCGTCAAACCTGAGTTCTAAAATTCTGTGGTTTTTGTGAAGCCACTTCTTAGAAACTTTGTTCACGGCAGGAAGTAAAGAGGGGCACCAGGGTGGGGCGGCCCAGTCAGTCGGGCGTCTGCCTTTGGCTGGGGACCCGATCTCGAGGTCCTGGGGTCGAGTCCCCTGTTGGTCCCTCATTTCCCGCTGGCCGCCTACCGGGCGAGGCCTTTCCACCCCTCGCAGGCCCCAGACCCTCCCGAGACCCGACTACCCGCGCCAGTCGCGCCTTGCCAATCCCGTGCACTCCCGGGCCGGAGGTCCGGGTCCGGGTGCGGGTGCGGGGTGCTGGACGTGGAGCATCATGGGCCCGGGGGGAGGGGCGGTGGCCCAGTTCTCGCGACATTTCGGCCCGGGCGGGAGGCAGCAGCGACTTCCCGGCGGGTGCGAGATGCGCTCAGAGAAGGAGGGAGTGGGAGGCTCCGGGGTGGCCGTTGCTGCGCGGGGCCCAAGCGGGAGAGAAAAGCTGTCGGCTGTGGAAGTCCAGTTCCGCCGGGAGTCGCCGCGGCGAGAACCAGAGGGGCCAGCAGCCTCGTCCTTCGACTGTGGGGGCGGTGCCGGCAAACCTCGCGAGGAGAAGAAGACGGTTCTGAGCAAGGTGGGGGGGGGAAGGGCGGGGCCGACTAACGTCGCGGGAGGAGGAGGGTCCTCCACGGGGCGGGTCGAGGCGAGAACGGAGTGGTGCGTGCCAAGCTCTCGCTAGGAGGGACGGTCTTGAGCGAGGGGAGGCGGGGCCGAGGGCTGGCGCCACGCTGCAGACGGAGGGGCGCTCGGGCTGGCGTCTTCCGGAGGCGGGTGGGCGGGCGAGCCTCGCGAGAAGAGGGATGGTCCTGCGGGAAGGGGGCGGGGCCACGGGCTGCGTGGTCGGGGAGCGCACGGGGCGGGGCCACGGGCTGCGTGGTCGGGGAGCGCGAGGAGGGGGCCGGCCCCCTCAGCGCCGCCGACCGCGGCCCCGCCCGACGCGGCCCCTCCTGGCGTGGGGAGGAGGAGCCGCGCCTGGGCCCGGAGGTGGCTCGGGTCGGGGCTCTTCCGACGCGGCCCCTCCTGGCGTCACCGCGGCCTTGGGAGGGTTGGGTTTTCCCCTCGGGCGCGGACGGTACGCGTGGTGCGCACAGTCGGCGGGGCCCCCGAGGAGGGAGCCGTGTGAGGCGCAGCCCCTTCCGACGGCCGTGCCGTGTCCGCGCGCGGTGGGCGCTCCCTGAGCCTGAACACGGGCGGCGTTCGAGGGGCACGCCAAGCCCCGTGCGTCCTCTCCTCAGGTGGTGATCCGGCGGCTACCTCCCAGCCTCACCAAGGAGCAGCTGGAGGAGCAGCTGCACCCGCTGCCCGCGCACGACTACTTCGAGTTCTTCGCCGCCGACCTCAGGTGAGGAGCTGGGAGGCCTTGCGCTCGTGGGAGGTGGCTGTAGGCGGCGGAGGCTGTCTGCGTCTTTCCCCGCGCGGAGCCGGAAATCGGCGCGCCGCTGACTCGGACGTGGCCGTGAAATGTGCCGGTACTGGCGGCGCGTCCTCGGGGGAGACAGCCCGCGCAGGAGGGACCGGGTCCAGCCCTCGGGAAGCCTGTGCTCGCGCCCGCCGACCGCCTCTTGCCCCGGGCCCCTCCACACCGCGGCGCGGAGCGTCTTCTCGTAGGGCGAGGAGGGAGCCGACCTTGGGTTAGACCTTCCCCGGGCACAGTCCGGCTGCACTTTGGGAGTCTCCCTGCGTTTCTGCTGCGCTCCATCACCGCTCTTACCCCTTCTGCCCTCAGGGTCGTGAGTGTGTCTGTGGGAGCCGTGTAAGCCCTCCTTCCGAGTAAAGACCGCTTGAGTAAAAGCTCTCAGTCTGTTCCCAGAAGAATACGATGGGTTAAAAATAGGTGAATTTCAAATGACTGAAGTTTAAGAAAGCTGGTGCAGTTGAAGGACAGGCCCTGGACTCAGAGGGAGCCCGTTGGAGTCCCAGTCCCACTTTCTGACTAGCGGCACCCTTTGCACTTCCGGAATTTCCCGGAGCCTGTGTTCTCCTGCGTGAAGCGGGGCTGGAAGTGCCTGCCCTCTGAGGAAGTTGGTAGTCTGTGGTAGCGGAGAAGGGCTTAGTTCTCCTGTGGTCCCCAGACCATGTGCTACAGTTAGTATCCCTTAGAATACGGAAAGCTGTTCTCTACGTCGGTGAAGGGTCTTTTGTGCGGTATGATGTTTTCATTTATGAGTCATGACTAGATTTTATGGGTCATGATGTGTGATAAGGAATGACCTTTGAATAACCTTGCCTTTGGTTTTCAACTTTGGAAGACAGCATTATAACCCTGGTTCTGTGTAGTAGAGAGGCTGACCTGAAGTGTCTTTCCAAAGTTATTAAAAAGATCTTGGGTAATGTGTTGTTTATTTTGGGGTTTTTTTTGCTAAAGAATGCCCAGATTGTTGTAATTAGCTGAGAGGTGTTCTTTGGCACATGGGGTTTCAGTTTGTTGTATCTAGAAAAGAAAAAAGGCAAGATTGAAGAAGTCTTGCATTTTTTACTAACCATTTTCACTGTTCTCTCTTATTTCAGTCTTTACCCTCATCTTTACTCAAGAGCATACATTAATTTTAGAAATCCTGATGACATCCTTCTCTTTAGAGATCGTTTTGATGGCTATATCTTCATTGACAGTAAAGGTTGGATCATTGGCTTTTTAAATTCTTTATTTTAATTTCAAAGTATGTTAATTAAGTTTTGCTGGAACGTTTGTGAATTATAATTAAGTTCTCAGATACCAATCTAAAATAATTTCATACATTTCAGTTGTGTTACTGTGGTTGTGTGCTTATATTGAAAATTAAAATTATACATAAACCAAAGAATTCCATCAATTCTTTATATCAGTGACAACCTATTTGTATATTATTGGAGTGAAATATTTCATATAAATGAGTTTTCTGATAATTGAACTTCCCTTTCTTATGTACCAAAACCAAATCACTTTACTTTTGTGCAATAGAAATTTTCTAAAATATATTATTCACTTATATCTATGTCTTTTTAAACAGTGTACTCTTTATATTTTGGCTCAGGTCATGATCTCAGCATCGGCTCCTTCTTCACTGATTGGGGAGTCTGCTTAAGATTCCCTCTCTCTCCCTCTGCCCTTTTTCCCCTCACTAAAATAAGTACATAAGTCTTTTTTTTTTTTTAAGATTTTATTTGACAGAGAAAGAACACGAGCAGGGGAAGTGGCAGGCAGAGGGAGAGGGAGAAGCAGGCTCCCCACTGAGCAGAGAGCCCGATGCAGAGCTCGATCCCAGGACCCTGGGACCATGACCTGAGCTGAAGGCAGAGGCTTAACCGACTGAGCCACCCAGCACCCCTAAAATAAGTGAATACATCTTGAAAAAAATTTAAAAAATAAGAATGTTAAACAGAGTAGTCTTCATAATTATACCATTTCTGGACAGTGTCATGGGGGAGGGGATTATAATAATGAACATAAGTTTCTGACTCTGTTGAACAGCATTGCCTGCTGAGACAGGGACATTTACCTCTACTCTAAATCGTTCCAATTCTCTGTACTTTCTGGATCTTGCCTTTGTCCTCCCTCCCGTCGGACTGTCAGCTGTTCTGTCCACTGCGGTCAAGCTGGTACAACTGTAAGAGCATATTCTCTGTATACCCCTCACCAACCAACCTCCTCCCACTCCACTCCACCCCACTCCACTGCTGATAAGTGTTTTCTTCTTTACCGAGAGCCAACAAAATATCCTTAAAGAGTGACTAGGCTGAGGCCAAGAGATTCTTTCCTGTGAGGAAAAGCAAATGTAATCTTGAACTATTTTTAACATTTTATTTTTTTGAGAGAGAGCACACATGCGTGAGGGGAGGAGCAGAAGGGGAGGGAGAGGGACAAGCAGACTCAGTGCTTGAGCGCAGAGGCCAGCGCCTCAATCCCGCGACCCTGAGATCATGACCTGAGCCCAAACCAGGAGTCAGGTGCTTCAGATGCTCAACTGACTGAGCCACCCAGGCGTCCCTCATCTTAGTCTTTTCTAAGCATACAGTTCAGTAGTATTAAGTGCATTCACACTGTTGTGCACCCCATCTCCAGAACTCTTTTCATCTTACAAAACTAAAACTCTGGACTCTTTATTTTTTTTTTATTTTTTTAAAGATTTTATTTATTTATTTGACAGAGAGAGACAGCGAGAGAGGGAACACAGCAGGGGGAGCGGGAGAGGGAGAAGCAGGCTTCCCCGCGGAGCAGGTAGCCCAATGCGGGCCTCGATCCCAGGACCCTGGGATCATGACCTGAGCTGAAGGCAGACGCTTAACGACTGAGCCACCCAGGCGCCCCAACTCTGGACTCTTTAAATAACTCACCACTTCTCCCTGACCCCTAGCTCCTGGCAGTCACCTTTTTTTTGTTTCTATGAATTTACTAGTCTAGATACCTCATATAAGTGGAATCATACAGTATTTCCCTTTTTGTGATTGGCTTATTTCACCTTGCATGGTGTCCTCAATGTTCACCCATGCTGTAGCGTGTCTCAGAATTTCCTTTTTAAGATTGAGTAATATGCTACTGTGTGTATATACCACCTTTTGTTTATCCATTTACAAAGATTGCTATTGTGAATAGTGCTGGTCTGAACATGGGTATAGAAGTATCTCTTTGAGACTCTGCTTTCAGTTTTTTTGGGTATAACCATAGCAGAATTGTTAGATCATGTAGTAATTATATTTTTAATGAGGAACTGCCATACTGTTTTCCGTAGAGGCTACTTCATTTTGTATCCCCACCACCTGGGCTTGAGGCCTCCCAATTTCTCCATATCCTCCCAACACTTGTCGTTTTCTGTTTCTTTGATAGCAGACATCCTAATGGGTATGAGGTAGTATTTCACTGTGATTTTGACTTATATTTCCCTAATGCTTAGTGGTGTTAAGCATCTTTGTGTGCTTGTTGGTCATTTGTGTGTCGTCTTTGGAGGAATGCTCATGTTTAAATTGAGTTGTTTCTTGTTAAGTTGTGTATACACACACACACACACACACACACACATATTATGGATCTTAACCCCTCATCAGATACACACACACACACACACACACACACACACACACATTATGGATCTTAACCCCTCATCAGATGTATGATTTTTTCCCACTCCATGGGTAGCCTTTATATTCTGTTGATTGTATTCTGTGACATTCAGGTGTTTTTAATGCGATGTGGTCCAGTTTTTCTGTTTTTATTTAAGTTGCCTGTACTTTTGGTGTCACATCTAAGAAATCATTGCCAAATCCAATGTCAAGCTTTTCCTCCATGTTATCTGCCAGAGTTTTATAGTTTTAGGTCTCATGTTTAGGTGTTTGATCCATTTTGAGTCAACTTTTGTCTGTGGTATCTGATTAATAAGAGTCTAGCTTCATTCTTTTTCATGTGGATATCCAGTATTTCCAGCAGTTTTTTTTTTTTTTGAGGTTCTATTTATTTGAGAGAGAGAGCATGAGCAATGTGAAGGGCAGAGGGAGAAGCAGATGCCCCACTGAGCAGGGAGCCTGATGCGGGGCTTGATCCCTGGATTCTGGGATCATGACCTGAGCTGAAGGTCGACACTTAAATAGTAAATAGTGAACGTTTCTCAGTATGTTCCTGCCCCCCACTCCCACCCCCCCCAACCCCGCACATAACGACCAAATCAGTTTCTCGTGGCTTTTGTTCTAAACTTTTCTGTTTGAGGCCAACCATGTGCATGCCCTCTGAGGCCCCTCTTTTAGCCAAGTGTCTCTTCTAAGCATACTAATTCCCTTGAACTCATATACAGATTAATCATTGAAACAACCTTTTGAAATTTAAAAAAAAATGACTAAGGAACCTGTTTAAAGGTATTCCATGATAAACTCTTCAGTGGGGGAGGGAAGGGTTTGTTGACATTTTAAGGTGTGCATCTTGATGAATTTTGAGTGCATTCAGTTATGTAGCCACTACTGCAACATGAGAAAGCATTTTCTTTAATAAGTGCTCATCCTTTGTTCATATCTGGAGTTTGATATGCTAAGTTTGCAGGTGCTTGAAAATAATAGTTTAAACGTTAATGTTGTTATGGTCAGTCTTTAAGAAACCTAGATCATGGTGCACCTCAGTCGGTTAAGCATCTCACTCTTGATTTTGGTTCAGGTCATGATCTCAGGGTCATGGGATTGATCCCCGCTCAGGCTCTGCTGGGTATGGAGCTTGCTTAAGACTCTCTGTCCCTCTCCCTCTGCCCCTGCCCCCGCAAAGAAAAAGAAAAGAAAGCTAAATCATTATTTGCCAAAATGAATATAGTGGAATTTTAGAATGGTTTTTGCAATTTGTTTTCTGTTAAAGGCCTAGAATATCCTGCAGTGGTAGAGTTTGCCCCATTCCAGAAGATAGCCAAAAAGAAACTAAAGAAAAAAGATGCCAAAACTGGAAGCATTGAAGATGGTGAGTCCCTTTATAAAGGCTGGATTATGAAACTGCCAAATTAAATACACCGATCAAATATAATTCCTCTCCCATATGTGGGGAGGAGCATGTTTTTCTTTTTTTCTATTTTAATTTACAGATCCAGAATATAAGAAGTTTTTGGAAACTTACTGTGTGGAGGAAGAGAAACCTAATGCCAATCCCGAAACTCTTCTGGGAGACATAGAGGCAAAGACAAGAGAACTTATTGGTCTGTTTGCTCATTTCTTCTCTTTATTTGATTGAGATATGTATTTGTTTCTTTTTTACGATTATTTAAAAATTCACACTTGTGACAGGCTTAGCAGGGATATAGAGTGTTTTCCATTTGTAACAAAAATATGGCAACCTAGGAAAATATTTCTGAGGGAGAGCACCAGAGCTTTTGGTTACAGTTATTTGTTCACAGTAGCTGATTTAATGTGTAGCTCAAAGGATTTTTTAATCACTAAATATTTATAAAGATGTGCTTAGCGTGCATGTGCTCATTTTTGGTCTGCACACGTTGAGTGGGTACCGACTCAGCCTAGTTGTGTGGTGTGAACATGAATGGGACACATGAGGCCTCTGCTGTCATGTATCTGTCCTGCTCGTGGGGAAGACTGTAGTAAACACCTGCAACAATAATCAGGCTTTAAGCCAGGGCTTGTCTATGTGATCAGTGCCACAGTATGATGAAACAGTCCTGGGAGGGCAAGGCCCTCTGAGAGCAGATGTGCTAAGACATGGAAGAAGAAGGGACTAGATAAGAGCTGGAAGCTGAGCTGTGGGCCTCTAGGAACAGGATGTATGCCTGTGTGGTTGGTACATGGTGGGCCCGGGGCAGAGTGGCTAGAGAGGCAGGTGGGTAAGAGGTTTGGAGTTTGTTCGAGAGACAGCTGGAGACTGCTGAGGGTGTGATGTGGCCTGATTAGTTTTCCTCATCACTCCATGCACATTGCTGCATACACGATGGATTGCTAGCTGGCAGAGTCTGCATATGCTCTGGCAGATTGGGTGTGGGAAGAAAGGAAACAGAAAGAATCCAGGCCTCCAGGAGTTTGACTCGAACAGATCAATGAGTGGAGGCACCATCACTGATACGGGGCAGACTGGGGAAGATTACTGGAAGTGAATTGAGATCCACTGTAGAGCATGTTAAATTTAAGAAGAGCTAAAAAAGGAAGCAAACTAGAAATTATTTGTAGGACTCACCCCCCGCCCCTTCCCTCTTTGCCATAAATGCTCTTGTACAGGATAGCCACAGAAAAGGACCAGGGTCTTCCACTTGCGGGCAGTTTTGAGATAGTCCTTGGTGGCCAGACACACACCATCCAGCTGGCTCCAGCCTCCTCCCACACCAGAGGGACATCCTCTCCCATCCCAGCCCCTTGCCCGGTACCTGGTGCACAGTAGGTGCATTGTAGTGTTTTACGGAATGAGTGTGATTCACAATCTACTAGCCCAGGATGAGGCTGTGGAGCTTTGTTTCTGTGATCCAGTTTCTGCCCATCGAAGTTTGGATCTTAATCCGGCAATTCAAGGCAAGTTGCCTTTTTCTTTTCTTAGATTTTGGCCTTTAGTGGATTCTGTGATCTAGTCTGGGCAATGAGGGTTAAATGGAAATATTAATTCCCTCTATAAAGTTGCAGGTTAGTGCAGTGGCGTAGCAGGGTCTGTAGAGCAGACAGACCTGGGCTCAGCTTCCACCCCTGAGACTTAGCATCCCTGTTTCCTCCCAGGTGGTTGTGACAGTGTCCAGGATGCAGCAGCTGTCTGTAAGTGGTAACAGGCTGTTGGTTAAATTCGTGTTACATTACATGGCCATGTCCCTTCTATTTAACAAATGATACACTTTTATGGTTTGTAAAGCACTTTCTTTTTTTTTTTTTTTTAAGATTTTATTTATTTGACAGAGCAGAAGCAGAGGGAGAGAGAGGGAGAAGCAGACTCCCTGCGGAGCAAGGAGCCCGATGTGGGACTCGATCCCAGGACCCTGGGATCATGACCCGGGCCGAAGGCGGCCACTTAACCAACTGAGCCACCCAGGCATCCCTGTAAAGCACTTTCTAATACAGGGTCTCATTTACCTTTCACATTGATCCTTTGGGGTAACAAGGCAGGTATTTTGTTGGAGAAGAGAGAAGGTGGGTGGGGTCTTGTCAGTTCCTCCACCCACCCAGGGAGGTCTTGATCCTGCTCTTTGCTCACTAGTCCAAAACTCCCATGGTGCAGAGCAAGACTCCTCCCTAATTTGAGGCAACTGCGTGTTACAGAGGGCATCAGCTGTGCTCATCCTGAGCCAGAGTTCATGATTAACATAGAAGCCACCCAGGGAGGGAATGGGCTCTTCTTGGCCTCTGCACCTGTGAGGAAATGAGCACATTTGCCCAGCCCTAAATCGGGCTGAGCTTTCCCGGCAGAAGCCATTTGACACATTATGTCGGGGTCTTTAGGAGTCCTTAATTCCAAGTTAAGAATCCCTGCCAGGGGCTCTCTTATAAAATTCCTGATCCTCAGAATTCGGGAAATGTCATGGCCAGTCTTCAGGTGCGTCCAGGGATTCTTCCTTCCCCCCATTTAATCTTAGGTCTTGAAAGAGCTGTGGAATAGATCCACACCATCTTCCACTTTTCCCCCTGCATCGTCAGCCACTGGCATGGGGAATACATATTTCTTAGAACCAGTCCCCCTGAGAGGCTGCCTTGAGGCCCGCCATATTTGGGCACCAAATTCCAAGTCAGATCAAACACGTCTGGGGCATGAAAGCTGAGGATCAAGTTTAAGTTTCCAGAGAGTTTCATTCCTGGGTGGTTAGTGCTGCTTAGATGAAGTGCCCTGTGGGGTCACTGTCTAAACTTTTACATGTGGTTATTCTGATTTGTGGAGTGTATATGATAAGAAATTACAAGAATCTACATTGTTTAACATCATTGTCTAGAGAGCAGAAAAGGAAGAAATTCCCAGAATATGTGTTGAATCAAAGTGAATCTGTAACCGTGTTATGTAATGTTTTAAAATATCTGCAAAAATGGGAAGATAATCATAACGTTCGGGAAGTCTAATGCGTTGTACTCACTTTTCTTTTTTGCTTTTATAGCATCTTTGTAATATGAAGACTTCCTTGAGAATCAGGAATTCGTTGCCTATTTGTAGAGTTGTCAGTGCCTCCAAATTACTTGACTTTATAGTGATGGAATAGGAACTCCCCCAAATACAATGTATGCTCATCTAAATTTTGTGTATTTATTTATTTATAAGATTTTATTTTTAAGTAATCTCTACACCCAACATGGGGCTTGCATTTACAACCCAAGATCAAGAGTTGCATGCTCTTCCGACTGAGCCAGCCAAATTATTTAAGATTAAATTGGAAACAAGTATTTAAAATGAAGGAAAGAAATTTATTTTAGAGTTAAATACTACATTACAATTTTTGTGTTTTAGCTAGAAGAACCACACCTCTTTTGGAATATATTAGAAATAGAAAATTAGAGAAGCAGGTAGGTTTGCCCTTTTACCGGATGAGTACCCTTCCTGTCCCTGCCATGTCCACACAGATAATTTATACACATGCTTTTCCATGTCTCTAGAGAATTCGAGAGGAGAAGCGAGAAGAGCGAAGGAGGAGGGAGCTGGAGAAGAGGCGTTTACGGGAAGAAGAAAAGAGAAAGAAGAGAGAAGAGGAGAGGTGTAAAAGGAAAGAGGCAGACAGACAGAAGAGAGCTGCTGAGAGAGAAGTAAGGATTAAGGTAATTTTGAGGAGACAGTTCATTTCTTTTTTCCAAAGCTAGTTCTGCTACAGTCGTGCCTTTTAGGTACTTAGCTCTTCCAACTTGTAAGGACATTTTTAGTTAGCCTACTCTTTTGTTATTATGGTTCCGTTTCTCTGCAGTACAGCAGTGGTTCTCAAACTGTGTTCCCTGATCCCTGGGGGTTCCTTGGGCACACTGTGGGGGAGGGGGCCCAGCCTCCTGGGTGTGATGGCAGCACTTCACCCAGAGGAACCCCACACTACTTGTCACAGATTGGGCTTCCGCTTACATTTTCCTTTAGAGAAAAGACTCCCTGACTAAAACGTACACATTTGGAAACCAGTGGCTCGGTGTATACCGGCCTTTCTAGATGAAGGCTCACTCCTGGAACTGGGTTTTACCTTTTTTTTTTTTTTTTACAGTAGCAGCAGTGGTTTCTAAATCTCTTGCCCAATTTCTCCTTTGACTGATGTGTTCATTTAGAAGGGCGGGTTAATGCACAGAAGGAGTTCTCCCCCATGTAAAATAGGGTGCTCCAGTGTGAGTCAGTCCTTCCTTGTTAGTATCTGCTCGGATGGCCTTATCAAACCTAGATTTCAACCTCATATGTATCTTCCCTCATTCCACAAAGGCTTTGAAGTGCTTTTAGAGATTAAGTGAAATTGTATCATAAGAAGAAAGAAAAAAAAGATCAGGATTTGGAGGAAGATAGAGTAGAAAGGGAGAGGATGGGGAAGAGGTCAGAGTCTCCATAATTGAGCCACATAGATTAGTTTTTTATATATTTTTTAATTTAAATTGAATTAATTAACATATAGTAAATTATTAGTTTCAGAGGTAGAGTTCAGTGATTCATCAGTCTACGTTAACACCCAGTGCTCATTGCATCACGGGCCCTCCTTCATGCCCATCCCCCAGCCACCCCATCCCCCCACCCCCCTGGCCTCCAGCAGTCGTCAGTTTGTTTCCTGTGGTTAAGAGTCTCTTATGGTTTGTCTCCCTCTCTGATTTCGTCTTATTTTATTTTTCCCTCCCTTCCCCTATGATCCTCTGTTTTGTTTCTTAAATTCCACATATCAGTGAGATCATACAGTAATTGCCTTTCTCTGATTGACTTATTTCGCTTAGCATAATACCCTCTAGTTCCATCCACGCTGTTGCAGGTGGCAAGATTGCGTTCTTTTTGATGGCTGTGTAATATTCTGTTGTGTATACATACCACATCTTTATCGATCATAGGTTAGTTTCTGATATGCTTGATCAGAAACATAGTTTCATTATCCATGAGGAGAAAACATTGCATTTCTTCAAGGGAGGCAAAGCTTTTTCTAGGCCTTTGCTTCTAAATCAGTTTCTCCTTATAGGTGGTCACATGGGACTCACTAGCTGGAGGGAACAATTTATTAACAAAATTCCTATGAAAACACAGTACTGTGTGTATCCATCAGGCCTGGCTGGGTTTGCCCAGTAACAGATAGCCTCACACCTCACCAGTTCACATAATTGGAGTCTTTTGTTGATATTCCATGGCCATTGTGTGCTGCTCACCATTGCCATCCAGAGACCTATTGATAGAGGCTCCACCTTGGCATTTGCTTCCACATTCCTTATAATGGGGAGGGGAATGTGTGATACAGAAGATTGCATGCTGGTTCTTAAACCACATGGAAGAGACACAGCCCTTCTGCCCACATTGCATTGGCCAGAGCAAGCCACATGGTGGCACCTAATCTCAGATGGGGGTCATATTCAAGAAGTGCCAGGAAGAGAACCAGAAATGTCTCTCTTTAAGTTTAAAGACATTGTTGAAAACCTTATCTTGATAAAAGGTATGGGACAGGTCACATTCCTTGAGCACATTTGCTGTGAAGACAAATCTAGATGTTCAAGATGAATAGGGAACTGATTGTCCCACAGAAAGTATCTTGTAATCTGATGATGAGATTGAGGAACCCAACCAAGACTATCAAAGATGGTCCGTCCCCTATCAGCAAGGACATGGCAAAACCAGGGTATTCTTCGGGGAAGTAACTGAGGGCATGTTTTCCGTGGACGTGGTTTAGTGAACACACAACTGTCCCAAGAAAATTGTAGCAGATTGACTTCCTGTAACAAAGCTGACATCTCCAACGGCATAAATTAACAGCCCTCGAAAGGTAACTGATAATGAAACCTTAATATTGTAGGGAAACCTTAAACACAAATTGTGGTAGAAATTCAGCTGTCATCGCTGGGTTCAGAGTAGGTGTTTGCATTTAATGCAAATTTTATGGTCACAGATGGAAATATTGCCTAATCTTCTCATTGACCTTTCTAAACACATAATAGCTAACTAACTTACTGCTTAATCTTTACATTCTCAAAAGCACTTTTTTCAGTAGCTTGAGAGTTTTTCAGGAATAATGTTTGAAACTTATAGCTTACAATTTCAGTTATAATTTTAAGTAAGACTTAAAGTATTTGGAGTATAGCATTTCACTTTTACATTTTAAATTATGAAATTCGAGTCCAAAATAAACCAAAGAAATAAAAACAAAATTAAGTCAGTAAAAATAAACGTATGCTCTTTCATATAGAAAAGAAGAAGTCAAAACATGAAGAGAAAGGGTATTCTTTTTTTTTTTTTTTTTTAAAGATTTTATTTGAGAGAGAGAATGGGAGACAGAGAGAATGAGAAGCAGTCTCCCTGCTGAGCAGGGAACCCGATGCGGAACTCTATCCCGGGACTCCAGGATCATGACCTGAGCCGAAGGCAGTCACTTAACCAACTGAGCCACCCAGGCGCCCCGAGAAAGGGTATTCTTATCCAAGTCTGGTAACACAGGATCTTGGTTGCAGAGTAGACCCCAGTGACATGAGTAATCGGCAGCCTGTGCCTTTACGAGTGTCTCGTGTCCTGACCTGAGGACACACACCCCAGCCCAAGGTTTGCCCTAAGTGAGCATTTGGCCTCATTTTAGGGATGTCTGATTTACAAGTCATTTGGAGGGGTGCCTGGGCGGCTCAGTTGCTAAGCGTCTGCCTTCAGCTCAGGTCATGGTCCTGGGGTCCTGGGATCGAGCCCCACATCGAGCTCCCTGCTCTGGGGGAAGCCTGCTTCTCCCTCTCCCGCTCCCCCTGCTTGTGTTCCCTCTCTCGCTGTGTCTCTCTCTGTCAAATAAATAAAATCTTTTAAAAAAAATCATTTGGAGAAATAAAAATTTTTTTAAAGAGTTTTTTTGGTTTGTCTTTTTTTAAGATTTTATCCATTTATTTGACAGAGATAGCGAGAGCAGGAACACAGCAGGGGGAGTGGGTGAGGGAGAAGCAGGCTTCCCGCTGAGCAGGGAGCCCGATGCGGGTCTCGATCCCAGGACCCCGGGATCACGACCTGAGCCGAAGGCAGACACCCAACGACTGAGCCACCCAGGTGCCCCAAATTAAAATTTTTTTAACCTGGAAAAATCAGTGAAGAAATGCTAAAAGAGTTGTGTTAATACCATAAAAATACAGATGCAGAGAGAGATCCTCATGGCTATTTTTTTTTTTTTTAAAGATTTTATTTATTTATTTGACAGAGACACGGCGAGAGAGGGAACACCAGCAGGGGGAGTGGGAGAGGGGAAGCAGGCTTCCCGCTGAGCAGGGAGCCCGATGTGGGGCTCGATCCCAGGACCCCGGGATCATGACCTGCCTGAGCCAAAGGCAGACTCTTAATGACTGAGCCACCCGGGTGCCCCCTCATGGCTATTTTTAACAATAAAAACTATGATATAAGAGCAACCCAGCTGTTTTTATTTTCCTCTGAGGACTCTGAAACTAGGTAATGAGCTTAAGTTGCAGTAGGAAGTTAGGAAAATTCCTGAATATACAAATTGTAGGCAGTAGATTACATTCTTAACAAAGTTGTGTGATCTTTTTAACAAAGCTTATTAAAAACATGTTGGCTGGTACCTGCTTCTGCCACCTCCTGTGCCTGGCTCCTCCCCCCTCCCTCCCTTTCACCTGCTTCCCCCCTTCCCCCTCCCTCCCTCTTCTGTCCCCACTCCCTGTCGCCTCCTCCCTTTGCCAGTCTGATTTCACCCTAGGCCTCTGCTTGCTTCCTTCCACAGGGAGCTTTCTCCCATGACTTATGTCTTCTCATAAGTGTTTCCTCATCATGTTTTACCTCCACAGAGAGACCCTCCCTGAACCCCTTGAGAAGCCATCACTTCTTACCCCACATCTCTGTCTGTCCGTTTTTTCTGTTTTAGTAGGTGTTTAGCATTTCATGACACCTAAATTTATCTGGTTCACTTTCTCTATTTTGTCACTGCTTACTCCCCTCCCCCCCCCCGCCCCCGTGGCCACCGTCATCTCAGCTAGAATGTCCTGTGAATGCCTTCATTGTGGGCACTTGTCTCTCATTCACAACTGTATTCCTAGCACCTGACACAGAGTCTTTTTCCCCGGGTTCCTGGCACATAGCTCCTAAAATCCTTGCAGGCTGTGGAGTGATAAGAGTGTCTTCTATATACCAGTGAGGTGACAGGTGGCTGAGGCCATGGGTAGCTTCAGGCATCTGAAGTGGGGACAGTTTTGTGCAATCTGACATTAATTCCAGCTAGCTAGTGTCAAAACCGAATGGATTTGTAGGACACCCAGTCTGTGCTGGAGGGTTGGAGAAGTGGTGTTGAAAAGGACACCACACATTTGGTTTCAGAAGTATTGCAAGTAAAAACAGTTCAGAGGTGCACAAAATTATTTCTTGGTTGGATGGGTGGACACACAAACTATTATACTCCCCTGTGGTTTACTTTTATTACCAGCATATATTACCTTTTTAATTAAAAAATATGTTGGGACACCTGGGTGGCTCAGTCGGTTGAGTGTCTGTCTTTGGCTCAGGTCATGTTCCCGGGGTCCTGGAACGAGCCCCAAAGTACCTGCTCCTTGCTCACCGGGGAGCCTGCTTCTCCCTCTGCCTCTGCCTGCCACCCCCCCTCCTTGTATGTGTGCTCTCTGTCAAATAAATAAATAACATCTTAAAACATAAACGTCCATAGATATCTGAAAGGAATTGTTTAAATTCACAGACCCCACAGGCAGAATAAGAGTATGTAAGGTAACATAGTGCACACCTGTGATGAGAAGCAACTTTTCATACTCAATTTTATATTTTATCTGTTTCATTCTTAAATTAACTCATATAGTTGAAATTTATCTGTGTATAATTTTGCTATAGTACAATTTAAAATTTTTTTAAATTGGCTCACTTTTATAAGTTAGAAAAAAATTCTCAGAAGTATACCTTCTACTTTTGTTTTGTAAACTGACTTACCTGTGGCACTTGAATTTCAAAGAGTAAACTATACAGAGAAGAGGGGGCGGCAGATGTGAAGGCCCAGATTTGAAGACAGCAACCTGCTCAGGCTGATTGAAGAAAGAGTAAGACGTGTTTTCAAAGTTTATTCTAAAAGTCATCAATATAAAGCAACATTTTATTTTATTTATTTTAGTTTTTTTAAAAGATTTTATTTATGTATTTGACAGAGAGAGACACAGCGAGAGAGGGAACACAAGCAGGGGGAGTGGGAGAGGGAGAAGCAGGCTTCCCACGGAGCAGGGAGCCCAATGTGGGGCTCGATCCCAGGACCCTGGGACCATGACCAGAGCTGAAGGCAGACGCTTAACTGACTGAGCCACCCAGGCGTTCCATAAAGCAACATTTTAAACAATATATTTTTACATATTACAAAAGCAGTACTTATTCATCTTAGAGAAAACTAGAACTTGGTGACAAAAGGAAAGAAGATCATTTCAGTTCCACCACCTGAAAATCATCACTATTAACATTGTTGCCAGCCTTTTAGATGTTTTTCTGTGTGTGTAAACATGTAAATAGAGACCAGGTCATTTATTTGTCAATAAGAACATCTCATCAGGGGCGCCTGGGTGGCTGAGTCGTTAAGCGGCTGCCTTCGGCTCAGGTCATGATCCCAGGTCCTGGGATCGAGCCCCGCATCTGGCTCTCTGCTCAGTGGAGAGCCTGCTTCTCCCTCTGCCTGCTGCTCCCCCTGCTTTTGTTCCTTCTCTTGCTTTCTCTCTCTGAAAAAAAAAAAAAAAATCTCATCAACTATCCTAAATCGTTGTTCATAACTATCGTCTTTCATTGACTGAGTGTTCCCCTCGGTATTTAATCAAAAACCTGGTTGCTGCACCTTGAGCTTACATTTTTTGCTATCCCAACATTTGTGCTCAATGTTGTTTTGTATTTTTAACTTACTATTAAACAACTTCACTTATAAAATTCTCCAAAAGTGATATTTTACTGATGTTACAATTTCCTAGCTTCTTAAGAAACCAGAAAAGGGGGAGGAACCAACTGAGAACCCAAAAGAAAGAGGAGAGGAAGTGGATATTGGAGATGGAAAACGGGAGCCCTATGCTGTCCTGAAGTCCACGCCCTTGGGGGGCTTGCTGGAGGAGCCCAGGGAAAAGTAAGCCCACGCTTTTGTTGCTTTGACCACATGAAGGATCACAGAAGGGTCTGTCAGTACTAGTGCTTGTATTTCATACTGCTGGTGGAATTCAGGGTTTTTACCACGATATGCGTGTCCACATCTTTATTTCTCCTTGGTCATGCTAGGAACTTAGCTCCTTTCATCTGAACTCTCAAGTCTGTCTTCCAACCAGGGACACGTGCTTCTGCTGGTCCCTTCACTGTGCTTGTCCTGGCCTCTTCCTTTGGATTCCTGTTACCGCCCTTTAGGTCTTCAGGATCTCCTTCGCAGTCTCTTGTCCAAGTGCTGGGCTTCCTTTGTTGGCGTTGTCCCTGTGGCCCTTCCGTGGAATTTGACCAGCAGCTGCGGATCCTGGTGTTCCACTAGCCCTGCCTGTTTCAGGCTAGGGGTCCTCGAGCATGTCCTTCTCTGCCTGCTTGTGACATGCTGCTTATGAAAGGAGCTCAAGCAGGGCTTCTGTGGGAATGGGACAGACACCATCTCTGCACAGGGGCCGGAGAAACCCGCCAGAACCTTGTCAGGTGGGAGCCCCTCCCTCCTGCCCCTGAGCTTCGTCAGGGTTTGGTCATCTCCATACAGTCAGTGGGGAGTATCTAGGCTTCTTGTTCCCCTGGCCCAGGGCTCCTGTCCATGCACTGCATCAGGACACCCCTGGAGCTTCCTGGAGCCTAGGGCTGCTCTGCTTCTGAGGTGTCTGGAAGTGAATTTACGTTTGCAGGCAAGATGGCAGGGTCATGGCATTAGGCTGCTGTTTGCCCAGAAACACAGCAATCTGAATGACTTCTTACTGTCTTTCTTCCACACAGAGTTGTGATTTAAAAAAAAAATGTTTCCCTCTTTTTTGGGGTTCTGGTTTATTGGTTTGTTTATAAAATTAATTTATACATGATTATGAAATCTGTGATCTGTTAGCACTGTGGTTTCTGTTAGAGGTGTTTGTATTATTGCTTATGATACGGCAGTGCCTTTTGTCATGTTTCTGGCATGAATTCACACTTTGCTTATAGATCTTTTTCTCCCCACCAATCCTGCTGCTTCTGTTTTGTGGGGAAACCACAGACAGCATATGAGGACTTTTACATGTGGGTTGTGAAGGAAAAGACTTTAAGAACCAAAGGAGCTAAGCAGCCACGTATTTATTTATTATGCATTTATCAGTTTAATATATGTATAAAAATTAGTAAATTTCAATTAATTTTAGCTACACTTGAAGCAGAAACCAAGCCATCAGTATCAGCTCTTTGTCATGATGGACATGGACCTGGGCCACTAGGAAAGTCACATGAGCACTTTGGTCTCCTGTACTTTTATCTGTAAAGGGGGGAGTTATATTTGCTTTGGGGGGTTACTGAGAATTAGAAAACTAAGTATATATGCTTATTATGTATGTCATTCAGGTTTAACAGTAGATGCTGCCGTTACTGTTGTCAATTCATCTTTCGGCAATTTTTTCTTGAATGCCTGGGCTGTACCTATTACGGGCACGCCTGCAGTGTGCTGATGAGCGGACTTAGGTATTCCCTGCCTCTTCTGGAACCTGTGGTCTGGACGAGAAGATAGGTACTCTACAAGCAGTATACCTAAGGTTACTGAGAATTTGTACTGAATCACAGGTTGCAGAATGACAGTGATAAAGAGCAAAGGGAGATGGAGAGAAGATTTCGAGAAAAAGAGCCTGAAACACAAAGATGCCACATGGATGACAGCAGAAAGCACAGAGCTCACTGTGAGTTTGACAAGTTTTCAAGGAGAAATGAAGAAGAGCTGAAATGGGGGAAAAGAGTCCCCTCAGACAGAGGGAAGAAGGGGAGCCAGGACAGTGGCATCCCTGTGGAGGCAGCAGAGTGGCCTGGGAGAGAGCACAGGAGTGAAGGCAGCCCAGCACCCAAAGCGGAGCGCCCAGGAAACAAGGTTCTTCTGTTCATTCATTCATTCATTCATCAACCCTAAAAGTATAAACTACAGGTCTGCAGGCTTACACCTGCTTTGCCAAACAAAAGTTACTTTGTTTAGCCAAAACAGAGAAATCTACATTAGGTGTCTTGATATTTCAGATCACACACTCTGACAGTGGGAATTCCACCCCCACTGGTCCTTCACTCTTAGGGAGTGCACCACCCGAGAGCTTGCATTTTATGATATTCTGTGGAGCTTTTTCTTATATCACTAATAACATACTGATTATTAGGAGAGCGTCAAATGGCTCATAAATACTTGTCAGATCTGCACAGTTGACACAGGGTTGGAATTGCCCGTTTAGACCAATAAATGGTTTTTTTTTTTCCCAAGAGTTTGATGTTAATATTTTTTCAGATCACTTTGTTGCGGAGAAGCAATATTAATGGGGTCCCCTCCCTTCCAGGGCCAGGCCCCATGGTGCCAGCCAGTTTCCCACCGCCCGGCTACCTGATGACCGAGGGGACCAAGGCTCCCCGGGCTGCGGTCCACACACACCTGCCACCCCATCCCTGACCTCAGCAGGCACACTGTCCTCTGTCTGCTTGATTTTGTCATTTCAGGGGTGCTTTAGAAGTGGAAGCACACAGTGTGTGACCCGAGATTGTCTCACTCAACAGAATTCCCTTCAGATCCACCCAAGGTGTTGCTGGTATCAGCGATGTGAATTTTTAAAATGTTTCCAGTAAAGGCAAAGCAGAGCTCCCGGCAAGAGGGGAGCCTTCTCATCTGTACCTTTGACTAACCACATCTGTATTATTCAGAGGTTTCTGTAGTTACCTTAACCTCAGGTACAGCAGGTATAGCCATGGGTCTTTTTGGTGGGGGTTGTTTCATGAACACTTGTGTTTCAGCTGGCTTTTGATGTAGCGACAGTGAGTGATCTGTATTTACACAGCTTTAGGTGTTGGGACTCCTCTCAATTAACTGATGCTCTGGGGGTAATATAGTGCCTTGTGCATAATGGCACCTTTTGTATGAGGCCTGGCTGGTTACAGTGTCCTTACACTGTCTGTGCACACCAGTGTTGCCCTGGTGAAAAGCAGGACCGTGCGTGTTGGCCTCAGGCAGGAAGTGGCATGGGAGTCCTGCACCTTTGTGTGCACAGGGATTCAGACCCACGGTGCCTGCCCAGCCCTTTTGCACTCTCTTCACTGGCCAGGCTTCCGCTAAGGAAAAGGGCATGCCAATAAATGCCCTGGTGGTGACTGTGGGGCCTGGGAGTGGGTAAAGGTGAGTTGGTGAGTCCTGCAGAAACATACCATGCGGGATGTGCCAGGGCCCCCAGGTGGCCAAGGAAGGGGTGCAGGTGCAGGAGGCTTCCCTGAGCCAGGGGTTTGTTGGTCCCCCTCTCCTTCAGGGCAGAGCTGGCTGGCTTCCCACTGTTGCTCCTGATCCTTAACCTTCAGAATCCCTTGGTCCTTCACTGGCCTCACCATCCTAGTGTCCTGAAGCAGTTCAGTAGTATTTTACACACTTTATTCAAGCATTGTTGTGTTCTTCCACCTCTGAGAGTTTAATCAGATGAAGAGGACAGTTCAGGAATAACCCACATGGAAAGTGCTCATTACAGATCTTACTATTTGGTTCATGACCCTAAAAAGCCACCTCTGAGGGGCTATGCCTTGCTTTGTCTTAGGCTGCGTGTTTACCCTACCTGGTGAGTTGGAGGGGCTGAGATGTGTGTGTAAGTCTTCATCTCTCCACCTGGGAGGGGAATGCCATGGTTCTACTGGCTCTGGGGGTGTTCTGGGTTTGAGCGTAACATTTTCCCAGATACTAATTTTACCTTCTTTCAAGTTATTTTAAATGTTAACTGTCTTCCTTTTCATGGCTTTTTTTTTTTTTGACCTCAAAATGCCTGGTTTCTGAGATAGTGCTGAAAAAAGGCAGATTTTTAGCTGTAAGACTGATTTGCTTTAGATAATGAGGATCATCAGACTCTGGAAGTAGAGACATTTTGCTCCCTCCTGTATTGCCAGCCTTTGGAAGGGTAACCCACCCCTCTGTCCCGGCAGGATCGGCCGGCCTTGCAGCTGTACCAGCCAGGAGCTCGCATCCGAGCACAAGAAAGTGCCGGGGGGATCTCTATGGAGGGCCGTGATGGAAGCAGGGGTGAGGCTGAAGATTCAGGACGGTCCAGTTCCCAGCAGAGTGAAGAGGCAGGGTGAGTCAGCGTGCACGTTTGATGGGAAGCTCCCATTCAGCATTTTGTGGGTTAGAGAGGGCATTCCAGAAATGTATCAATTAGCCTAGAGTATAACCCGCAAGGTGCATTTACTCCTTTTAAAGAAATCAGAAACTAGAAATATACGTGTGGCATAGAAACATCTAGAAACCATTCTTAAGAAAGAAGCAACCTGTTAAAAAATTGAAAAGTTGTCATAGATTTTACTGTTTTTAGTATAAACTAGTATATACTGTTTAGACAGAACAAGTAATCTTGTTTGAAAAGTAGAAAGATATGATTAAAACAGGGAAGAAAATTAGTATTATACCAGTGTGGACTGTGAAGCACTTTGAAACGTTGTAGGAATAACCTGTACTTTGCATTCTACACATCTGTAAGTGATCTGTCGGGGTCCGGATCACGCGTGTGTATGAGCTGTAGTTTAAAAAAGGGAAGGGAGCAGCTCTCATGCCATCGCAAGCTGGTGATCCAGACACCTAAGCTGTCGTGAGCATTCTGACATCTCTGTGCTGTAGCTCCCAGGACAGGAGCCTTACCACTATGTGAAGTTCTCTGGCTTTAAGTATTGACCCTTCAGCAATTTGGCCACTGACTTTTTTCACAGTCTTTTGATGGATGTGCTGCTCATGGTGTATAACCACTGTTATGTAAGGGCTGTTGAGATAACATAAGGACATTATTTGGGGACAGGGATAACAGGTACAGCATCTGGGGTTTTCCTTTTTGCATTCTGAGGCAGTTTTATTTTTAAAGGACTTAATGGAGCTTTCTGTAATTATGCGTTCACAGTATTTTTTAATGTTAGTGAAATTTTTAAACATTAATGTATTTTTGGCACTATGCTTTGGACCACATACTAAATAATTTTAGTTGCTGTGGATTTGGAAGTCCAGGTTATGGTACTTTTCCTATATCAAATTTTACATAATAAAATACTGTTTTTCAAAATGTAGCTTTAATTACCTGAGTATTTTGTTGATTATTGCTTACTAAATATGAAATGTTTATCAAAAAAACTGAGAATTTGGGGCACCTGAGTGGCTCAGTCAGTTAAGTGTCTGTCTACTCAGGTCATGATCTTGGGGTCCTGGGATCGAGCCCCACATTGGGCTCCCTGGTCAGCGGGGAGGCTGTTTCTCTATCCTCCTACCCTGCTTGTGCGCTCTCTCCCTATCTCTGTCTCTCTCGGGAGGGGGCAAGATGGCAGAGGAGTAGGGGACTCTGATTCAACCAGTCCCCTGAATTTAGCTGGATATCTACCAGACCATTCTGAACACCCACGAAATCAGCCTGAGGTGTAGGAATATATATCTGAATCTCCACAAGCAGAATATCCACAATTCTTATATATGGATATATAATATTATATATCCAGAATATATACCTGGATCTCCACAAGCACGGTTTCGATGGTGCATCTTGCCTGGATTGTGGTTGATATTTAGGACTCTGTACATTCCCTCAACCACCCCTCAACAGAATGACTAGGAGGAGGAACTCCCAACAAAGAAAAGAACCTATCTCTCTCTCTCTCTCTCTCAAATAAATAAAATCTTAGAAAAAACAAACCTGAGAATTACTCATTTATCATTAAAGATGTTTGACTATTGGACATATAGTCTGTCCCATGGCACTGCTGTGCTCTTGCTCTTGACTCCGGAATTCCAAGAATTTGGCAGGGGAGGGGTGAGAAGGACTTGCTGTGATTTAGTGAGGTCCATGTGACCCAGCACAGCCAGCCCTGATGGGAAAGGGGTAGGTAGTAACTATTTTAGACTTTGCAGACTCTCTGGTCTCTGTTACAACTTATAAACTCTGCCATTGGGCAATACATAATGAATGGGCAGGGCCGTGTTCCAATAAAATTTTATTTATAAAAACATGCAGCAGGCCATATTTGGCTGTGGACCGTAGTTTGCTGACTCCTACTTAGATCAGGCTGGATCTCACTGTGTTCTCACTGCTCATTTGGGCTTTGACTGAAGATGACTGAAGACTCGAACATAATACCTAAAACCATAAAATTCCTAGAAGGAAACAGAGGATTCGATCCTTGTCACCAGTCTTGGCGATAATTTTTTGTATATGACATGAAAAGCAAAGGAACAAAAGTAAAAATAAACAAATGGAACTACATTGGACTAAAAAGTTTCTCATGAAGGGAACCCATTTGAAAAATGAAAAGGCAGCCCATGGAGAGAAAATATCTTCATACCACATACCTAATAAGGGGTTAATAACCAAAATATGTGAGGAACTCTTACAACCCAACAGGAAAAAAAAAAAAATTACCCAATAAAAAGGGGCAAGAGACCCAAGTAGACATTTTTCCAAAGAGAACATCACAGATGGCCAACAGGTACATGAAAAGGTGCTCAACACCACTACTTATCAGAGAAATACAAATCAAAACCCCAAGGAGATACCACCTCACACCTGTCAGAGTGGTTAAAATCAGAAAGATGAGAGCAAGTCTTGGCAAGGATGTGAAGGAAAGAGAACCCTTGTGCATTGCTGGTGGGAATGCCAAGTAGTAGAGCCACTATGGTATGCCAGTGTGGCGGTTCCTCAAGAAATTAAAAATAGAACTACCATATGACCTAGCATTGCCACTGTGGGCACAGATCCAAAGGGAGTGGAATCACATCTGTTCACATGTTTGTCACAGCATTATTCACAGTAGCCAAGGTATGGAAACAGCCTTAGTGTCCACAGTGGAGGGGTGGATAAAGAAAATGGAATATTATGCAGCCTCATAAAAGGAAACCCTGCCATTTTCAACAATGTGGATAAACTTGGAGGACATTATGCAAAGTGAAGTAAGCCAGACAAAAAAGACGAATAGTGTATATGTACAGTGTGGAAAAAAAAATCAAACTCCTAGAAACAGAGTAAAATGGTGGCTGCCAGGACTAGGGTGTGAGTGAAATAGGGAGAGGTTAGTGAAAGTCATGGGTTATTCAGTTATAAGATTAAGGTCAAGGATCTTAGGTACAAGGTAGTGACTGTAGGTGATAACACTGTATTGTATAATTGGAATTTCCTAAGAGAATTTTCTCACCCCCAAAAAAGTAAATGTGTGAGGTGATGCTGTAACAGTGTGAATCCTTTCATAATGTATACATTTTATAAATCAGTATGTTGTACACTTTAAATGTTACAGATTTGTCAGTTATACCTCAGTAAAGCTAGAAAATAAGTAAAAAGTAGTAACACTCTTTGAAAGGTTCCTGAGATCTGCCCCCAGGGCTTCTCAGAAGTCACTTTGAGATTACTGATTTAAAATAATAATACATTGTATAATGGGTTACCTTGATATAAAACACTTCCATACACACTTCCTAGTTTTGACTTAGACTCGTTTTTAAGATTGGTTGGGCAGGACATACATGATTTCCCTTTCATAAAACTAGGAAACAGGTTTAGAGATGTCTAGCACCTGTTGCTGGCAAAGTGAAGCTGCTTTCATATTTGTAAAGTTTTTATTACTAATTAGCCAGAAAAAAAAGGTTTCTGAGATAATCACATATCTAAGAAATGGTAGAAATGTTAAGAAAGAATATTCTTCACATGGACATACCCCTTGGGAGTTGCAGTCCACATCACAGGGAGGGACTGCAGTGCTCAGTGTGACCGAGGATTTGGTGTGTGGCTGGCCACCTGTTGGCTTGCCTTCTATATTTGCTTTGCAAAACTTTCTTTTTTGTTAAAGATTTTATTTATTTGACAGAGACAGCAAGAGAGGGAACACAAGCAGGGGGAGTGGGAGAGGGAGAAGCAGGCCTCCCGCCGAGCAGGGAGCCCGACGCGGGGCTCCATCCCAGGACCCTGGGATCATGACCTGAGCCAGAGGCAGACGCTTAAAGACTGAGCCACCCAGGCGCCCCCCCCCTTTTTTTTCTATTGTTTCTCATTTTAGATCCCAATCTGGTTTTATTCAGCTCTCTAATAATTTTAATAATTATATTTAAAAAACGTGAACATAGCAAAGCAGAACATTAACTATCAGTATTCTAATGGATCTCAGTCTTGCCAGTAAAATATAAACACCAGCTGACTGGAAGTAATTCCTCAAATCTGACATGAAATAGGCACTTTGAAGAATCTCATTTACGTCTTTGGAAACAAGTTTTCACTTGCTTGATAATAGTGCTTACCGAGTGATCATCTCCCACTTCATGAGTCAAATGACGTGAGACCCTTGGGGGCAGGTGAGGCAGTTCATGGGGCAACAGATTCTCTGACCAGATCTCCACAAGGACAGCAGGGTGTGTGGCTGTGGCCTGGCGGCCCTTCTGGGCACAGTCCTTCTGCACATGTAGAGGACCCGGATAGTGAAGAGCGTGAGCTTCTTCACATCACACCATGAGAAATGATCTTTTATGTTCGCCTCTGTCATGGAATTCTCATTTGTATCTATCTTCTAAACGCTGATGAAAAGAGAGAGAATTATCTCCACTTTAAGTAGATTTGTTTTCTGTTCTCTTCCTATCTTTAAAATTAAGGACATGTCAGAGATTAAAGTGGAGAATTAAGTAGGTATTTGATCTATTTGATCTGTGTTAATAGCAAAAGAGAAATGAGAGAAAATAAGTTTATTTTCAGAACAGTATTCAAAGTCGAGGGTTTTTTAGCCTACTTAAATCCACCAGTTAATTGCTTCAACACAGTCCCAGCTATAGCAAGGACTAATGATAGTAATTGTTATGTGAAAATTCAGTTTTAAATCTTTATTTTTAAAATTTTGTCACTTCAGTGAAGTTTAGAAAAATGCTGTCTTCTCTGAGCTTCTGTTGGGCTACATTTTGGTGGAAAGCTAATAGCTTCTTGTAAGTGCTCCTCCTTATCTTTGTATCAAAATTATGTTTATCGTGTAATGTTTTAAATTTCTCCCAAAATTCTTCACTGTTACACATCTAAAGGAAAAAATAATTATATTAATAATTTGTATCACAAAGCAATAAAAGATGTCTGTC